AGCCCGAGCCCGGCGGTGCGGGGCACCCCCCCGCCCAGGCGGGGACGTCCTGCTCCCTGCGCTTTGCCCCGTGTCCCTGGCCGACAACCCCGCTGGCGATTCGCGTTGGGCCATTCCCACCACTGCCGGGGGATTATCCCAAAGCGTTTTAGAGATGACAAAATTACGACTCCTCCAAGCTAAGTGGCTTTTCCCAGCCCAGGTGGTGAATAAGCAGCACCGTCAGGTGCAGATGGGGAACTCCTCGCACCCCAGGATGCAGCAGGAGTCCTCCCAGCTCCAGGAACAGAATCCGTGCGGCCTAACTTCTGCTCCTCTATTCTTACTGCTCTATAACAGCACTTACGCAGAATAAAGAAACCATTAAGATGAATCTGCAAAGCAAACAAGGTCTGGCGTAGCAGACAAAGGCCTGATGGGCTTGTTCATTCAGGAGATATCTTAAGTCACAATGTTTACGTTAATACCATGATTAAATATTGTTTGAAAAGTGATTAAAAGCCTAAAGCTATAAAAAAAGCTACAAAGTCCCTCCTTTAAAAAAAGCTATTCCTTTAACTTTATCCGAACACTAAAACATCAATAAAGCAAGATTTCCATATAAAGCCCACAGGGGAGCAAAAAACCAAAAACATTAGTATTAAAACAACAGCAGGACCGTGGCAGATTTTGAACTCAGCCTTGCTGCAAGAAGTTGGACCAAAAAAAAAAAAAAACGAACAAAAGCAAAAAGGTCACTGATCTAAGACACATTAAAAGTAAACAGCCAGCACACATAGCTGCCTGTGTGTTGTTTGTTCACCAAAGACATTAGTAATAGCCTAAGGCAATGAATACGCTCCTTATGGTTTAATTCTGTATAGTATTAACACCAAATCAAGCTGCTCAGTGCTTTATTTTCCCTCATTTCTGATGATGGGAGGAAGCTTGGCTTTAAATTCTGATTTTTCATCATTTGTGGCAACACAGAAGTCCACTGTCACAGCTTTTATTAGAAAGCTGAATACCTGGTAAGAGTACAAGTTGATTTCCCAGCTAAGGGCGGGACTACTAACCCACTCTAACAGTACAAATCAGAGGCACAGCAAACCCAAAACATTACCGCTCAAACCTATACAATACTTTACCAAGTTATAAAAACAAACACCTCAAACTGGGACTAAAATCATCCATCCGTATGTACCAATCCTGGTGCAAATTTTTCACAATTTTTACATGTAACAAACTTAGCTCGGGGTCTTTTTTCTTGAAGTTCCTATATATTTCCCCTCCCCGATAAAGGCCAAAATTTATCCCCAAGGAAACATGTTACTTTATTCCAAGGCTTGCTGTATATGCAATACATGGCTTGACTAGCATTAATAGTTCATGCTGATGTAGATGTGCAACTTATTACCAAAGGGAGAAATGTGAAAACAGTTTCCCAAATTCCCTCACATATGTGAACTTTTTAAACCAACAGCATGGGTCATGGTTAGGAAAAAAACCCACCTCCTTCCTCCCCTTGCCTCAACTTACTTCACTTGAAAAAGAAGTCTTGGCTACAAATTCCTAATTTTAGAGACTGCAAACTACCACCTCCCAGAAAAAAGTATGTTTTGTGATCCCCAACAGAACACATTTTGAGTATTAAAATCATGTGATCTGAGCTCTTTCCCCCTGCTGCTATGCTGAAAGTACCTGCGCTCCATAAATCCCGTCACCAAACGCTGCTGATGTCGATTGCTTCTATCGTACAATACAGCATTATCAGATGACTGCCTCATAGACAAACAAGCTAATTTCTCCTAGAAGCATGGAATGAGTCACATCCTGACAAAAAAAAAAAAAAGCACATCTCCACCTGTAAACAGTTTCAAGATGACAAGAATTTAGATTGCTGAAATCAGCTGTTCCTATAAAAGAGAGCACTAGAATAGCTTAGGAAATATAAACGGATAGAGTGTGTTTTCTGTATTTGAAACTGGTGCAAATGAAAAGGGTCAAATGGCAGACAATCATTTTGCACTTAACTGTGGCACAGGAAAAAAAAGTACTTTGGTTACAACAGAATCATTTTTTGCAATCATTATTTTAAATGTAATGCTTAACTGCGGACACTGAACACCTAATAAACTATTACGTTAAACTTTGAGCAGTCATTACTACTGTTTGCCTCCAAGTCCAATAATGTGCAAAGTTTTGGGGTGTTGGGGAGGGGAGGAACAGCACCTTCTAATTAACAGGTTTTATTTCCAAGAACTAAGCTTTTCCATACAGAGCTTGGAAGGTTCAAATAGCAGCTCCTAAAGAGTTGGTCTAATGATTTTACAACTTTGGGCTGTCATAATATCTGAGTTTATGGTTATTGTTAATGTTGTGAACAACAGATTTTCTTTTTTTTTTAGACCGTAAACTTGATGGGTCAGCACCTGTTGGTCCCTCCCATGTCACTGAGAAATGGTGCCCAACCATTGTAGCATTACTGAATACAAGGGCAGCCACATGGAAGTTGTTTTTATTGACTCGGTGTATGAAGCGGCAGTTAACTCCTCTCTTGGCTTTAGTTAATCCAGAATTAGAGAGTTCCCCCACTGCTATATACTGTACCGACACAGACAAGAGCTGCTCTAAAGAGTTAACTTTGTAACGGGACCAAATAGATACAAGATGGCATGTGTTACCTGCTTCTCTCTCCAAGACAGAGCTTGAGGAACTTGGTCCAGCTCACGGAGGAAATACGTGTTAGACATGGAATCTTTTCAACCTCAAAAATCACAAGACACAATCTTCAGCCTCAGTGCACGCAGGCTGAATTTGGTCCTATTTGTACAAATCTAAACCACATTAAAAACAAGATTGGAAGTACAAGCACAACCGTAGAACTAGATCCTTACTGTACCTGAAAGAAATTAGTACTGCTTAATTAAAGAGTAAAGACCCCATCATAAGAGAAACACTTTATTCAACACACAAAACAGCTATTTTGCTGTTTCAGTATTGGCATATATAGTGCACTGAATTGACAAATTAATTAGGTTTTGAGAAACCGGAAATACTACCAGCCAATCTGTGGTTTGCTGATGAACAAGAATGTGGCGACAGTATTTGCACAGGCTGTCTTTTGAATAGCATCAGTCTACCTCAAGGGCATTTTTGTCACTGAAATACCTGTAAGATCAGGCACTGTGCATTTTGTAAGAGGGTGAGGAAAACATGGTAATTTCAAACTCAAAATCCTAGCTGGGTAATTTGAATGACATTAGTTTATTGTTTTTACAGGAAAGCTGAATAACCGTTTTGCTAACATATTCATTCTCAAATTCCTAACAAGTAATATGAGGTTTATGGCTACCACATGCTGATCTGCATACTACAGAAACGATTCTCTGCTGACTTAACTGATCCAGTTTAGAGACTCAGTGGAATTACAACGGCAAGGAGGGAAAGAAGGGAACATACAGGAGGCTGTCAAATCCTTGCAACAGGGAATACTACTATAACCATAAGCCAGATAATGACTGCAAACACAGCTCAACTGTTGCAGCACAAAGAAGAAATAGTATCCCTGTTAGCCAAGCCATCTGCTAAAGCTAGGCACCAGGAAGAAATTAAGTCCTACAAGCACAAGAAATAAACAGAAGTGCTTAAAAGGCCCAACTTACATATTTCAATTTCAGAACAATAAAAATTTCCCTTCCTACAGTCGCTAGAACTGGAACGTGTTCTACTCTGCCACGTCTTCCCTCAGCCAGGGCAGCCAAGTTACCCATAAGCTGCGCTCTTTGGCACTGTGGAAGGAACAAACAGGATATAGCATAGGTAAACACATTAATTTTCTTTGCTATACTACAGATGTAATTTGTGCCCTTAAGCGCCGCACGTTCATCTTGATGTTGGAATATTATGTTGAGAAATCCTCTTTTGCAAGCTTAAACAGACCACTAATGGGGGATAAACAATTTTACCTCTAAATAAGCTAATTAGTCTCTCTAGTTGCTAAAGCTGATAAGGATCATCTTCTAACGTATATTAAAAAAAAGACAGAACCTTTATAACAACTCACATTTTTGGTTTCTGTTGCTATTGTTTGCACAGTGGTAGGGATCAAGCAGGGGGGAGGTAACTTTCACAAATACTGCCAATATTACATCCTCTAAAATAAACAGTTGAAGTTACATGTTATTTTCCACGCAAAACTGACAGCAATCAAAAGCTTTAACAAAAGACTTCACAAAATTAACGTTCCTGCATCTCCTATTTATAGAGCAAGGACAGTCATTCCTGCAAGCCCCAAGGGCAGGGCAGGGAAATTTTAATACTTCTCTTGCATAAAAAACAGTCAAGAAAAGTTACTTCTGTTCCTCTCCTGTTTTATTCTTGAATGTGTTGTATGAAAGAACAACGGAGACACACATCAGCATTTTTAAATGCCTGCCATTTGTTTCTTGAGATACAATGCAAAGTAGATACAAACAGCGCAAAAGGATTCTTTTCTGAGTACAGGGCATTTAATATATTAGTGGACACACTGCTTAAACTGAGGAGACATTTTCACAGGCAAAAGTGCAAAAATTTTTCCAAAGGGAAAGGCAAATTTGGTTGTTTCTCAGCACATAGCTAATTCACATACAGAAAGAGGTAAATACTTATTTGGCCGTAAATGATGCTAGCTCAAGTAGAATTTGCTTCTTTCTCCGCGTCATCGTCGTCGTCAACAACCTGAAATCAAAACCCAGAAGCAGCTTAAGCAAGCAGTTTAAACTCTAGGCCTCCTATTACATATAGGATTTATTACATCAAACCTAACGTTATGAGGTGCTTAATCCTTGCGGGACTCGAGGAGAGAAGTAGTTATCCTACGTCACTGAGTAACAACGGACACAAGAAAACAGTAAAGAACTTAAAACCAAAAATGCCATGAGGAGCTGTGGGTGACACAACAGGAGGCTGGTCAAGTCATTACAAAAGCCACTAGAACAATCACTACAGTGTATCTTATTTTTATTGAGAGAACAAACAAAATCTGCATATTAGGGGACAAAAGCTTGCTCTTTATCATCACAGAAAGTCCACAAAGCTAGCTGCTACTGGCAAACACAGAACAGCTTCTTGGGAAGAAATCCCAGATCGAAATAGAAATAGTAATGTTTTTGAGACTAGAAATAAACAGTGCTTTTGAAACTACGTAATAGAAAAAAAAAAGGGGGGGGGGGGGGATACCAATTTTCCTGAGGTATGCCACTGGAGTATTTTTTTTTTAAATCAACTTTAGACTTACAGCAATCGACCGGGGGAGTGGGCAACCACATTGCTGTAAACAGCAGAGAGGGAAGGAGGGCAAGGCAGGGCAAAGTGATCCTGTTTTCTTCAGTTTCATCTAAACAGGTTTTAACAGCTAGATCAGTCTAGGAAAATGCACACTGTCCTCAGTTTAAAATCCAGACACTCCACCCTATCTAATTTCACTACTTTGTTCTCTTTACACTCTATTTATAATCCCAGAACTGTACTGGGTATCAATTTCCAAGGAGAATTTTGAAGGAAATAGGGGCATCTTCAAAGTGTTCACGGCTTCATGGAAATTAGCATTTTTCCAGTAAATCAAAAAGTCAGGGAACATATTACTTAATAAACTGTGCAGTACTAGAAAATTTTCTGAGTTGAGCACCACAGTACTCTACAACTGCTTTTAAGCATCATATGCTGAAAAAGATACTGCATCTTCTGGCTTGGAAAAATTGCATCTATTCCTCCAGTACTTTTGCTTAAACCAACAACCTGTGTCCAATGGAAAGGGACAAGGACCTTTTTTCAATTTAAAGGAAAACTGCTTTCTCCTATCTCACATCAGCCCACCTGTTCCACGCCTTCCACTTCTGGGATGTAGAACTGCAGCATGTTCTGTATTCCGTTCTTCAGCGTTATGATGGAACTGGGACAGCTGGTGCACGAACCCTGCAACTTCAGCTGCACTATCCCATCTTCAAAGCCTTTGTAAATAACATCACCACCATCTTCTTGCACTGTCGGCCTGACAGACGACAATATCCAATGTAACCTAAGTATGGCTGAAATATGTTTCATTCTAGGAATCTTTAAAAGAGCTCTATTTAATATACCCAAAGAACTAGCAAGCTCTAGTAACTAAAGCCCTCTTTCTCTTCTATCAACTGGTTCAGATTTCCAACAAGTCATATTTTGGCAGCCCCTCTCACATTCGCGGCTACTGTCTTTCTATAGCACATTAAGCAAGAAACTGGAGAACACTATAGGACAGGAAATGTTACTTTCAAAAGGTCCATCCTCTACACTGTAACTTACTGCCCACTGAATGCAGTAACCCATGAAAGAATATGTAAATTCTAGGGACAAGGCTGAGCACCTTGGAGCAGGGGTTGGATTCCACCTGCAGAGAAATACTGAGTTGCCCTCCCCAGTCTTCATGTGATGATGCTTGCCTCAGTTATGCACCAAAATCCAGATGTCTACCGTCATGCAATAGGTGCACGTCCTACCGCACGATGCAGATGCGTCTGCTACATGACTAGGGACGGTGATGAAGAGTCCCCGAGTGCTTCCATAAACAAACATGTAGTCACTCTTGTTTACACAAGGGAGAAAAAAGCTCCAAATATTTAAAAGCCTAATCCTATTAACTGATGAAGAAACCAGCATCAGGTAAGATCCGATCCCAATACTACTAGCATTTCTGCAGCCTGGACTCCTTTTGCGATCAACAAACACCCAGCATTTTAATTGCATCCCCATAGCAACGTTTTTCCAGACCAAGCTAAAACCATCAAGTTACTCTAACAGAAGCTCTTTATACTAATTTCCAAAATAACTCTTTTGAGAACTACACTCTCAACAGAATAATCCACAAATCCAATATGTTTATTAACAATTCACTGTAGCAAATCACCTCCATTCCAGAAAGCCAACAGATGTAATACATGACTAAAAATTCAATTTTTATTTAAAAATAAGATTTTTAACATGCTACACTACCTTTCAGATCTCCATTCCTCCCACCCTGCACCTTCTGACTTCTTTGCCCATATTTTTGATGGACTAAACAATAAACGTTCTGTATGCACCACCAGTTTATATATAGCTTCTGTAAAACGCCCTGCTGTATAATGAAGTAAAATACACTGCTGCTAGTATTCCCATCAATAGCTTCTTGGTCCAGTAGAGGAAAAAAAAAAATGGGGAAGGGGGAAGAAGGGGGAGGGAACCAATAACGTTAACAGAAATTCTGTGGGTTTTAAGAAAGGCCACAGGAAAATCTAAGACTAACTTATAAGGATTTTAACTGACCACATACCCAGCAAGAGTAGAGTAGGGCTTACTGAATGCTACTTTCTATCATGATTTTTTATAATAATATGCTTGGGTAAAACGTTTCAATGCTTAGTGCATACATCAATACGCTTGGGGAAAACGTTTCAACTTATTTCTGTCTTTCTTCCTCTTTCCTTTGAGGCAAACAAATTAGTGCCATGTGTCAGCTCTGAGATAACTACAATAGTATTTTAAAATAGAACTTTTAAAATGAAGTCTTTTTTAAAGGGACAGAATATAAAAAAAAGCCCAAATTCATCGCATCTTCTGGAAAAATGAAAATGAATTCCATGATTTTGATCCATGTACAAGTTTCTGGTTATGGTAATTTGTAAGCTGGGGAAGAAGGTGCCATCAGATATAAGACAACTCGAAAAATACATCAGGCATTTTTCATTGCATCCAGAATGTCATGTTTCTTATTGCTTTCAGTTCACTTTGGGAGACAATTAATGAACATAAAAACATACTTCAGATGAACACCATGATCCACTAGCCACTCTCGAGACTTCATTAGTAACTACAAGATTCTAAATTCAGGCTGTGTTAAAATACAGATGAAATTGCACGAGACTATAAGGACAAAAATCCACTGAAGCTCAGCCAGCCAGGGAAAGCTGCTAATGTTTCTTCCTTCAGAGTATGACCAATCCAGAGCATAACCTACTTTGCCTGAAACACTTAGAAGGACAAGTATAATGAAGACAGAGATGAATAAAGTAGAGAAAAACCAAAGAGGTTACCGTAAAACCAAAGATCATTTCTGCTGTTTTCATTATCTAGCAATAACCAGGTTAAATCCAATGGGCCTGTTTAAATTAACTATGGATGGTAAGATACTGCAGTATTCTAAAATCACTCAGCAATATGGACTCTGCTCAGCACATAGTTTGTTTAAACAGGAAAACTAGATAGAAAATTTTCAATTCGAGGAAACCGCATTCACAAGTCTGGCCAGTTGTGCATTTCATATTTCCAGGCTAGATACTCAACTGTGAAATCACAAACATCTAGGAAAAAAAAAAACCCTGTTTTCCAAATCATTCCAAAACACAAGCCTAACTCACTTCATCTAGCAATGTTCCTGGTTTACCTTATTCTCGTATCCAGCAGTTCTTTAATCATTAATACAACTTCATCATCTTCTTCTGAGGGAGCTTTGGGGGGAGGGGGAAAAAAAAGGGGGGGGCAAATCAGAGGGAGTTTCACTATGGTTACTAACACTGTACATCCAAAATGGCAGTATAAAGTAGTATAAACATTGCTGAAATGACTGAAACCAAAAGGCAAAAGTTCTAATTCAGAGTAAACATCTTCATCTGAATTACCCATATTTACATCATAGAGTTTCACCGACATAAAAAAACGTTAATTCACAGTTCTCCTCAAATAACAGACAAAGGCCTTAACAGACAACGGTAGCGCACCCTTTTCTGACAGGGAAAGCAGCACAGTAAAAATAAAAGCAACAACTAACATTCAATAAGGATGCCTGGGTTAAGGAAGGGTCCTCAGGAAGGAATGTTTTAGCAACCCAGATGTCCTTGGACTTACCCACATACCTTTAGAATTTGGTTTGGTTAGATGTGGGGAAAATGGTGAAACGTCAAGGGCTCCACAGCACAACCCTTCAGAAAAATACTAATGTGCACTGGGTAAAAAGTGACAGATTCCAGTTTACTAGTCTGTCACAATCCACATCAGTTTCTTGAATAGCCAATTGACTCACTAGCTCATCAGTGAGTGATTTTTTCCTCTGGGAGGAAGAAATTATGAACGAGGCTGTTTTTAGCACTGCAGTATATAATTTCAAGTTCAGTGTTTGTCTTGCAGAATTATTTTTAAAGACTTCTTTTTCCCCTCAAATAAAGTAAAATCTACATGAATATTAAAAGGAAATCCACACATGATAGAGCAGAGAGGAATTAAATAATCACCATCTTCCCTAAAACACTGGGGAAAGAAAAATTGTACAAGTAGGTAAGCTACAAATGAAACAATGCAGGGCAAAAAACTCCAATAGAGTTAAACTGTAAGCTAGTCTCAGTACTTTCTATTACAGTTTGGAAAAGAAACACAGACCCACGTTTTATTAAGAACCTGGGAGAAAAAGGCAATTAGTAGTATCATAAAGAAGTGAAATACTTCTTTAAAAAATTTTGCAACTGAAGATCATAGCTTTCCCAGGACTCTTGAGAAAAAACAAAAACAGGCTTTTACCTTTACATATGCCCCAAAGTCTTTTAGGGATCTCACGTTTTTAAAAATGTCTTTTCAGTGCTACCAAAATAAACATATGGCCTTCAATAATTCTACGTTACTTTTCACCATCACTGCAGAAAGGCTGTCTAGAAAGTCCTGTGGCCATCTTAAGCTATTTCTTTACTCCTCTATTTGCATATCTTAATACACACAGAGGACTTCTTCACATTTCTCCTTCATGTAAGGCCATAAACCCATCATTAACACATTCGCCTGGACACTCCTTTTTGATTTAAGAAGGGAAATTGAAACCTTTGTAGCAGCCCATTTGAAAGCAAAAACAAATGCAGGGATTTGAAGCAAGGCTCAATAGCTTTGTGAAAGGAAACTCAATACTGTCAAAAATATTTCACAAATACAGAATAAAAGTACAACCGGACAGCATGGTCCACACTGCCAAAAACCATAATTTAGCATAGCTCCTGTGAAGATACAGACCTGATACTATGTTAGATAAGAATCAGGCTTTATATTCATGCTTAAGCAATTATTTTGGGCAGTTTATCATTTCTTCCACTAGAACATATGCATTCTGCAATTTCTTTCCTGAGTTAATTTTAGCATCTTTCACTTTAAATTCTCTGCAAATTCTTTCCTGTGTTAATTTTAGCAGCTTTCACTTCAAATTCTCTTGCATGTTTTTCTGAGATACATACGCAGGATCTTCTGGGTATGGTAAGAATGAAAACCAGAGGAAGATACCGGCCTCTTCCTGAAGAGTTCAGGTTACCTGTATCTGTCCTAGGGGCCTCTTCAGTAACTACAGGTAAACCAGAGGCAAAGAAATCCATTATAGTTGCATAAATATCTGGTTTCAGCAAGTTCCAATCAAGGTCTTCACTCTCCTGTGAAAGTCAGAAGAAAAATGAATAAAAACAGAGCATCTGTCTCTCAATAATTATAAATTACATAGGGATCCTTCTTGCTTTAAAAACATCATAATGGGCAGTCAGGTTTGATGCATGGATTTTATTGTATAGTTTCGTCAAGTCTGCCTTTGTCAAAAATGTTTAGTAAGACTCAATTTAAAACAGCCAACAGAAAGGTTTTCTTGTTCGCAAGCCAAACACTATAAAAAATATCTAAAAGAAACCTCAGCCGCTAACAATTGACAGTGAAAAATTCCTAAATACGTTACTTGACACATATCTTTGCCAGACTGTTTCAGAGACTCAACTCTGAGTTTGGTTCCATTTGATTCCGAGACAAACTATCATTCCCTGAATTGCCCTGTGCTCTCCCTACAATAAAAAAAGGTAACTGCACGATCACTATGCAAAGCCTTACTTCTGGTGATGTGAACACCACACCTTAGATAAATACAACACTGCCTACAATATGCTTGATCCCAAACATTAAATTATTTAATCTGGAAGAGATCTCTGGAAGCCATCTCGTCCAACTCCCTGTTCAAAGCAAAGCCTACTTCCAAGTTGACCAGGTTGCTGAAGGCCTCATCCAGGCAAGTGTTGACCATTTGCAAGAGCAGAGAATCTACAGCTTCTCTGGGTGACCTGTTCCAGCACTTATCAACACATTGTAATTTTTTTCCCCCTCTCTGTATTACTGGAATTTCCTTTAATACCACTTGTGACCATTGCCTCTGGCACTTGCACTATGCATCTCCAAGAAGAGTCTGTATCCATCTTCTCTATAAGCATCTCTTAGGTAGCTGAATCACAGTTCATATTTTAGCACATTTGATTCTCTGTTCTGCTTACCTTCGTGACTGTGATGAAGTCTGGCCCAAAGAAAACACTTTTAACTCCTTCAATTCGGAATAACTGTCTAAAACAAAACAAAACAAAAAACAACTCATACACACTTCAGCCAAACTCCTAAGATTTATTTAATCCGTCCCAGAAAAAAGTTCTAGAAGATATTTCTGGACAAAGATAAGCACTTCTAAAAACAGAACCATTAGGAGAAACGGGCAGTTAGTTTACCTGCAGGTTAGCGTCTTCTCAGTTTCACTAAGAGCCAGGAGATCCTGCTATGAAGCCACACAGGAAGTAAAACTGAACATATCTGACAGGACTTTTCCCAAAGACCAGATCAGAAATATTATCGCAGAGGTATGCGAGATGAAAAAAAGCCAAAAGAGATTTCAAAATAGCCTTTTGAAAGAATTTCCACACATGAAACAGTTCCAAGACTACTGTGTGTTTTAAGTCAATTGCATTTTAAAGTTAGTTAAACAAGGAAATTATACAAATGCACTAAACTGTCCAAGACCAATGGAACGCTTTTCTTTGGAAAACGCATCTTCTATCTTAATGTAAATGAGTATTCCAATTACAAAAACTGTAGTCTGAAGTGTAACAATACATATTAGTCACATAATTGTCTTCCATTAACATGCACAACACATACAAAGAGTTCTTGCTGTGGTACACATTTTAGCATGCACATCATCTTTGATGAAAAAGTCTACTTGCAGATATCCGACAACATAAAACCACTTTCCGACAGCTGCCTGCATTCTGCAAGCTAACGTACTTTGGCATAATCAGATCCTACTGTTTCAGCAGTCTGACAACACATTTTGATGTCCCGGAAAACACGCTGCATTTGTTACCTTGAAGTCACAGGGCTTTGCTCGTAAAGGTGCTGTTTGCTCTCAAACAATACAGCCAAGAGAACTTTGGAAACATTACAGCTGTATGGTTGATAACCTGTACTTCCTGGAGAGTGGCACGTGACATAGCTTCTACTCAGAAGCAGTTCTTTTCAGCGTACACAAAGATGACTTCAACTAGGATCTCTGGAGGTAACTTATGAAAGCATTTCTGGATCTCACTCTCCAGGTAAAGCCTTTCCACCCACGTAAAGAGGATAAGGGAAACTTATTTTCAGAGGCTAACGCAAAAGCAATGACAAAAATGCAAAAATGGGTGCTTCCAAGTATTCCCCGAGAGACTTGTGATGGTGCTCCCAACTCCTTTTACTCCAAGATGATATAAATGGATTATTTACATAGTGATTCTTACTCCAGGTTATGCATTCTGATACTGAGACTTGCAAAACCCCAGACCTGTTATAGATCAAGCCTTAAAAAGCAGGCCCAAACACACCTTTTCTCAATATCTGAAACATAATAAACCTTTTTCAAAGGAAAAATCCATTGGCTCTGAAGTTCAGCTCAACATCAACATTTGCCAACTAAAGCAACCTACTAATTTTAAACGTGTAATATTTGTGACTATTTAGTTCCTTATGTTGCCTACTTCCTAACACTTAAGAGCTGTATGATTTTCAAGTAACTGCTCAAAGTAGGAGTCATCCGACAGGAAAAGTTTTATAAAATCAGGGCAAGAGGTCTCACCAACGATGCAGCATATCTTCAAGATTACTGGACCTTATTGCTACTTAATCCAGCTGCAGGGACTAGATCACGAGGCACTCTGCTACACTATTGACACAGGTAGTACAGAAACACACAGAGATTATTTTCGTAACAACAATCTTTCCAGCTTCAATTTTATGCATGAGTAAAGCAACACGAAAAACTGAAATCCAGCCCATCTGTTCCTGAATGCTCAGCTACGTTTAAAACGTCAGCTGTAGACACACATCCCATGCAGGTCCCCCAAACAAATTACGACAAGTTTAATAGTACCTTGCTAAAGGTGAGCAAAATGCTGCAGCTGGTGAGGAAAACTCCATAGTCCTTGACTCCAGCACTTCCTTCCCTGGAATAAACTTTAAACTATTTGGATTTGGTGTGTCTTGAGTTTGAATAAACATGCATCTTACTGGAAATTAAAAAAAAAAAAAAGATAGTTAGTGTTATCCAACAGAAGCAGCTTAAGTGAAGAAAGTCAAAGATCCTGCTTGCTTAGCGAGTCAAGACTATTAATGATCATTGCGCTGTGAAAAACAAATAGCAGTCTGCGCAATGATACTTCCAAAACATGGTTCAATAGGTTCTATGAAAGCAACTAGACTAACGTGAAGACTGATAAACACAGTCACTTTATCTTATAAGGAACAGGCAGACAAACAGAACCCTGTCTTTGTTTCTCTTATGAACTTTTACCAAATAAAAGGCTCCTACTGCAACAGTCAGTGTCAATTTGCACGACGACAGTACCATCTTCGCTGTCTCTCAAAGGCCGAGATTTGCAACCTTCATTTCTCTGTTGTCTTCAGGTTTTTTTATTTCATGATCCTCAAATGCTATGAGGTCCCTCTTTCAGCATTATCACTTACTGTTCATAGCATTAAAGGATACATACAGCCAGTTTTACTCTCTCTTGAAGATATTCATAATTTATAGATTTTTTTACTCTTCCAGAATTATCAAAAACATACATAATAACAGTTACAGCCAACCACACCCTGTTTGTAGTACTTTCATGGGGTAAGACAGTACTGTAAACTGAGAACTGACCAGCTTTTCTAAGTTTATACTGTTTTCTATAGCTACTCCAACCATTTTATTTGAATCCACAGCTCCATCAGTATCATTTGTCCTCTAGAAACTGAACCTAACCAACAATTTGAAGTAAAACTACTGTTAAGTCACTGGTACGGAAGCTTAAAAGATCATTTTGATTGTGTTTTATTATTCACTGAAGTTACTGGTGGGGTGAGGGTCTTTTTTTTAGAAGAGCGTTAAAGGAAAAGAAGTTGGTCTTGAATGAAAATGCAAACTGTACATTTAATGGCGTACTTTTAACGGTGTATTTTCACGTGGACATGTCCACACAGGACATGTGATATCCCACTGAAGGTAAACATCAGTTAGAGGCAGTCCCCCTTCTCCTATTTTCCTTTCTAGTCACTTCTTTCCCTGCATACCTAAGCATGCCACAAAATAGGTCATGATATTTGTTCTTCTCAAAGTAGTACAGTACATTCAGCAAACAAAAAAAGGCATTTTAAAAACAAAAATCCCCAGGAACTAATATTTATAAAGAAATCATACCTGAGAAACAAGCTCACATTGACTTCAGAAACATATGATATAGAGAGATTTAAAACAACAAAAAGAGCTGACATTTTCATTTCCTAAACTGCCATTTTGATGATGACTCTCTAGTAGCAGATGACAAATCAGGCTATTTATAAATTGCCAAATTGTTACTGCAGGTGTCTGTCATGGTAGCAAATCCATTTAACTTGAACACACGCTATGGCAAAGTACGCGCGTACTGCTTGCTTAAGGAAAAGAAGACAGCATAGAAACGCTTAACATGAAAAGTATAGTCCTGATTTAACAGGCAACTAGTAAGCTTTATCCACAGGGATGGAAGAACACATCTTCCAGATCGACGCAGCATAGACAATCACATCCAGTATAACAATGTAATTTATAAACAACCTACAAGAGTGGATTTGGATGGTGTAAACCGAGTATGCTCTGCTAATTTTTTGAAAGTAATGGGCAGCTGACAACTATCCAACATCAGTCATCTAGCATCTCTAAGACTCTAAAACACAAATGGATGTATCATCTCTCAGAAAAGTGTCCGTTGTGGGTAGCTACTGTATTTCAATGCAAAAGACAGCGTCTTCTGCATTTACAAATCCATCTTCCTAAGACCAGCTTTTTAATAATCAAACTGGAGTTCTTTGTACAACTGTGAATATCCCAGTCAGAATTTATTATTCAGTAGGTGTGGTATGTGGCTGTATACACACGTATCATCTACCTTGTTTCTTTCAATTCTTTAAGGAACAGAACATTGTATGTACTTGGCTAGTATTCTATCCTATAACCTACTCAAGGTAAGAAAAAGATATCAAATAGAGGCAGACTTTAGAAGGACATTTGCAAAAGCAGGTAAAATACTTGGACGACTAAAACTTTCAGTCTATCTGTTTAACCACATGAATAAAACTGGAATGAAAAACCATGATGCTGGACAAGATAGGACTGGACTCCTCTGAAATCAAAATCAAAAAGAAACTGCTGCCTGAGCAGATTCATTTAAAGAAGATTTCCATTTCTGCCTAATTCTATGCAACAGCACCTCCAGATTATTTTTTTAACTCTTTCTTTTGCTACAGGCACTGTAGAGCAGTTGCAAAAGCAGAATGATTTTCTGCAGCACAAGTTTCATAGTTTTTTTTTTTTTGGGGGGGGGGGGAGAAGCAAATACAATAAACCAAATCTCAAGCTTTGCTTTTTCAGGTTATCATCAAGTTACTGTTGCAGATACTGTTTCACAGTGTGCTACTAAAAGGACACCCTTGGCTATTTTACATCCTTTTTCCACTGAACAGAGACAGTGTTCTCAGTGAACTGAACTTCTCTGGCTGCCTCATACGCATTTTTCATTTTCTATGGGAGATATGTCTTTGACCTGAAGTAAAAATCAGGCCAGGTCAAGCCTGCGCCACAGCTACGAACAAAGTAAACCATATACAGATCACTGAAAAGACCACATAGGCTAACAAGCTGGGAGGGCAGGGGTTATCTTACTAGTAAGATGGATTTGAATCACAATGCATAGACAAAAAGTACATCTTAACAAAAATTCTACGTGTTTCCTTAATGTTAAGCCCAAATTTTACCATTACAATACTTTTCATATTAGTTTAGATTGCAAACACTAAATGGTTTCTGTTTAATTTTAAGTTACCTTATTAAAACTGTAGACAAAGAGAAAGGAATTTGGACAAAACGGAAAAAGCTAGATTTACTTCAAGCATGAATCTCCCCAGCACTAGAATACGTGACACAACTTAGAATTAAAACAAGAAGTTCTACTCTGCTAAATGATCGGATACATACACAGGAGCATACTCAGGAGGAGAAAAATTTTAAAAAGAAAACATCACAGCTCTAAAAATGAAAGCTCTGTCTTCATCCTTACAAGATCATACCCTGGACGGTCAGCAACTTAATCTCGCTGAGCTCAGCAGCTGAAGCAGGACAGAGGGTAACAGGAGGTCTTTCATAAAGGATGCATTTATGCCAAGATAGAATTTAAATTAAAAAGTGCAGCAAAGCCCAAATAGTATGTTCTGCACCAGCAAAGCTCCTTATAAGACTTGGCATCTGAAGGACGTAGAAAAAACATGGATAACGAAATACAAAGTGAGCAATTCAGGTCTTCTCTCCAAGCTCCAAACGTGCTTGTAACTCATTCAAAAACATCCAGAAAATTTTAATCAAACTCAGATTTCAGAAAGAGTATACTTCCATTATTACCACAAAATAAAAAATCCCACCATGCATTCATCTGCTTATTTTCACTTATTTTTGACTTGTATTTACCTGTGTTACGCAATACCGCAACCGGGCAAAATGGTTTCTTTTGTACAAGTTGGTGGAGAGACCGTTTAGTTGTCAAATTATGGTCTTTCAACATCGCATGACAGAACCTAGGGAGAAATTATAGCTTTAATAACAATTTCCAAATTAGGAGTTTGTACTTCAGTGCCCCAAAGAAACAAACTTCACATGCTCCTAGCATTCCCAGAACTCAGTTGGACACTCACCTACCTTCATCCCATCAGGGAACGTAGCAAATTGTAAAGGCTGGATTACAATATGCCCCCTTACTTTTTCCCCTGGGCTCCACCTTTGCAGCAGAATTAGAACAGATGCTCAGCACTTTCTCAGATTTCCTAACAAATTAGACTTAACTGTCCCACTCTTAATCACCTAAAAGTTACTCTAGGCTCCTTCACACTTACTAAAGGGATGCAAATCACCTTACATACCTATAACAGAAGAGAATAAACATCCCAGAGGCACCCCTTTGTCTTCCCTTTGATTGTAGCAAGAACCTAGAAATCTAGCTTGGACTAGACGCCTCATTTTTAGAAGATTACAGACAGGTGAGATGAATCCAACTCCAAGCACCTGAGGCTAAACAAAGGCCAGAATTTACTCCTATACTCCAACAGTTTAGCTGGTGAAATATAAGACTCTTCTGTATGTGACTTTCGGAAGATATAAGACAGGCTAATCAGGTAATACAACGGCTGCTGCCCTTACACAAACAATTCGTGTAAGAGAAAAAGCTGACGGGACAATGTTTGGACAAGTGACAAAAACTCTATCAACTATACTTACTAAACTGTACCTCACCACTGTCCACCCCTCTACCTGTATTTCTTCCCTTTGGAAAATAAATAAATCCGATATATTCCAGTGTAAGTATTTGTTCTGGGCGTGGGAGAACAAGACCCCTAGAATGAAAACAGGCAAATTTCATACTGGTCCATAGCGATCGTATAAACTGCACCAGCAGCCAAAACAGGGGTAATATCCTCTGCTGAGATAAAGCCCACAGTGGGGAAAGCAGAAGGAAAAAGCAAACTATCAGAGAAAACAAGCAAGGCAGAGCGATGAATAATGGGCCTAGCTTTCAGAAGTTTAACTAGGTGCTTGCACATCTGATTTCTGTAACTATACGCACAGCCAACATACAGACACTTATTTTTATGTGTAAATTCCTTATTTATAACTAGACAGAGACATGAAAAACTGAACAAAGAGACAGTCCAAACACCAGAGGCAACATCACCGTACACAGAAGCAAAATGAATACTACCATCTTGGATTTTATTTTTTTTAACAGACAAGTAAACAACATATTATGGGTTTAAGGTATGCTTGTGTGGGGTTCTTTCCCACAAACCTGGAGGAGCCTCCCTATTTCAGGGTAAACTGGAAGTTAGCATACGTAAACAAAGAACCTCTTCATGTAAAAGATAGCTCAGACTGGTTATTACCTGGTTTTCTCCTCCTCTTCAGTGTACAGTGGGGAGAAAGTAGGTAAACCAAGTAAAACAGATCTGCAAGGGCTATTACTAAGGGCACAAAAGAGATTCTGACCCTCTTGGGGGGGGGTCATAAATCAGAAAAGAACCACCACACCTGGGCTCCAATTCCTCGAGCTCAGGAAAAAAGCTTAATCTCATGAAACCCCCCTCCCAGTAAGCATTGAGGGAGGCATGAACACAGAAAAGATCTAAATCATGCCATTTAGCTACTTTCATGGTCTCGATAACAGATAGAGAGCCAACAAGGGCATGTATAAGGATGGTCCCCCAAGAGAAAAATTCTCCTTCCTTTCAGCTTTAGGGAGGAAAGCGGACTAAACTTTCCAGCTCTGCAAAGAAAAGCCCACAGTCCTCAATCCTACTGTATAACAAGGAAGCTGAAAGAAAAGGGATCTTTACTATTCATGTTACAACTATCTGTATGCAGAAAAAGGAGGACAGACCCACCCCCTCCAATTTTCTTCTCCCTTAGAAAATGAAAGAAATGGGCCAAAGTTTACCAGAATCAGAGCATCCATATGTGCATATATGCTTTTCTCTAAATTTTGGTGTCTGCCTGTAAAATACAAGCGTTTGACTACATACATGTACAAGAATAACTGTTCACCACCTGACACCGGTCTTTACATAGCGAAAAGGAGAGGAAGAGAAGAATTAACCCATCCTTTCTAGACCCTTAGTTAACAGACTGAAACTGTACCTTTGATGTGTGGTCCTTACTACTCATGTGTGTGCATGTGGGGGGGGGTGGTTTACCCCTCATTGCATGATCATTTTAAGTCTAGGGGGTGCATTTCCCTTCATTGCTCAGGTCCTCAGCACACGTGAGGGAATAACCCCCCACTGCATGGTCCTTAGCAAGTGTGCGTGCGTGGAAATACCTCTTACTGCACGGTCCTAAAGCGGAAGGGGAGGGGGGGTTACCCCTCACTGCATGGGCCTAAGCACATGGGGGAGGGGGGTGAATTTCCCCTCGCTACATGGCCCGAAGCACACGTGGGGAACATTACTCCTCTCTACGCGACCCCGAGCACACGTGGGGGGGAACTACCCCTCACTGCGTGTTCCTGAGCACAGGCAGGAGGTAATTACGCCTCACTCCCCACAGCCGGGTGCGCACAGGGGGGTGAACGGCCCCCCTCGGGGCAGCGCTCGCAGCACCTGTGCGTCCTTGGGGGGGTGAGGGGGGGAACCAGAGGGGATTAACGCCTCGCTGCCCGACTCTAGCAGAGCGGGGAAGAAATAATCCTTCACTGTGCATCCGCAGCGAGGAAGAAATAATTTCGCCCTTCGTCACCCTGCTGCAGCGGAGAAGGAAAGGGGAAGGACGGAGAGAGCCTGACGCGGCCCGGGCGGTCGCGGCGCCGTGAGGTAGCGCGCGGGGGAAGGGGCGAGGAGGGGCCCCCTCGGGGGAGAGCCGGGATCGCTCCTTC